GGAAGGAAGGAAGGAAGGAAGGAAGGAAGGAAGGAAGGAAGGAAGGAGAAGGAAGGGAGGGAGGGAAGAAGGAAAGAAAGAAGAATGAAAGAAAAAGAAAGAAAGAAAGAAAGAAAGAAAAGAAAGAGAAATAATTGGGAGGGAGAGAGGAAAGGAAGGTGGAAGGAAATGGATCAAAGATAGAGTGATTGGATGTGATCAGCCCTGACCTTGGTCACCCTCCCCCCTCCCCCAACACACCTGATTAACCAGTGAGTTTGTGAGTTTGGGGTGTTTCCTCTCCCTTTTCACAGAAGTAACTGGTTAAGGACAGGATTAAGGGAGACTTGAAGCTACTGAAGAGAGTGTTCACTAGGCACCTAGCACTTTTTTTACACAATCTCATTTTGCAAAATCCTTACCGTGGTCCTGGGGTGGGTAGCAATCACCATTCCAATTTGCAGATCAGGAAGTCGAGGTTGTAGCAATGAAGAAACAGGCCTGGGGAGATCCCAGACATCAGCCCAGGAAGCCAGACCCAGGTGCCCATGGCTGCCCGCTACACAACACTGCTGGGAGTGAGGTCAGAGATGTGAAGGAAGCCCTATGAGAACCACCCCTGGGCAGACACACTCGTGCCCAGGGAGGATGTTGCTCATATCTAGAGGTTGCTCCCCTGGGAAAGCTGTTAGGAGAACCAGAAGAGCAGGACGCTGGACCTTAGGCAGGACACAGAGGGACTTCTCAGGAGCAAGTGGCCGCAGTGGGAGAAAGACACAGCTAGCTAGTGGTTGTCCCTCACTGCCCAGCGATGAGAACTGAAGAGAAAGATCGGCATGAATAAAACAGACATGACGAGTTCAGCCAGCCCAGTCCCCACGAGCCTCCCCAGAAACCAAGGACTCCCCAAGGAGACAAGCCAGGAGCACTGCCCAAGCCACCTGGGCCTGTGCCACCCTGGCATAACCAACCCCACCCTGGGTAGTCCAGGGCTCATGCCCACCCCTCAAGAGGAGACCATGCACCACCCTCTATCTCTCCCCACCCTGAGGTGCCAGTCAGACCTAGGACAGCCAGCCTGCCACCCACCCCCTCCTACAGCCTGACCCTTGTCCTCAGCTCCTGCCATACCCCTCTGGCACCTTCTATGCTCCTTCAGACTCTACACTTTGACTATGCTCTTCCCTCAGCCTGGACTGCCATTCCCTGTGCTTTCTCAAGTGACTAAAGCTTTCTAGGCCCAACTCAAATGCCGCCTTATGGAAGCTTCTCTGACCCCTTGTCAACCCTACCAGGCAGAGTTTAGTCAATGTTCCCCTTCCCTGCATCTTCTTGGCATTATACCCACACCTCCCTCAGTACCACAGTCATAGGATACCTACGTGGTATCCATGAGAGCAGGGGTTGCACGCAACTCACCCCCACCTGGGCTTGGGCCTGTAGGAGGTGCTCCATGGGCAAGGGAATGGGCCATCTAATTTCATCCTCATGACAAAAGATATGGTGGCCCCTTTTGAAAACTAAGAAATTGGGCTAGGAGTGATGGCTCACACCTATAATCCTAGCAATTTGGGAGGCCGAGGTGGGAGGATCACTTGAGGCCAAGAGTTCAAGACCAGCCTAGACAACATAGAGAGGCTCTGTCTGTATAAAAAAAAATTGTTTAAATAAAAAAGTTTTTAAACCAAACTAAAAAATTAACCAGGCATGGTGGCTCATGGCTATCGTCCCAGTCACTCAGGAATCTGAGGCAGGGGGATCACTTGAGCCCAGGAGTTTCAGGCTGCAGTGAGCTATGGTCAAGTCACTGTACCCTAACCTGAGTGGCAGAGCAAGACTCTGCCTCTAGAAATATATAAACAAATAAATAAAGACTAGGAAATGAGGCCCAGCCGGGCTCGGTGGCTCAGCCTGGAATCCCGCACCTTTGGGAGGCTGAGGTGAGTGGATTGCCAGAGCCCGCGGGTTCGAGACCTGCCTGGGCAGGCGAGACCTCATCTCTACAATAAAATCAAAAAATTAGCCGGGCGTGGTAGCACATGCCTGTAATTGCCTCTAAGCCTGAACCTAGGACTTGAGGCACACACTAGAGGCCCACAGTAATTCCCAAGCTGAGTGCTGAGAGTCGGCCTTGGCCTTGAAAAGAGAAGTGGGTCTGCGGGCAGGTCAACCCCTTCATAGTCTGTGGTGGCCTCAGGTCCCGTGCCAATTAGCGAGACTCCAGCTCTGACCCCTGGAGTGGGCGGGTGACTGAGGTCACAGCAATATCAAGCCTGGGATCAGGCCTTTGCTAGCCCCTACAGTCTTATCATGGTGGTGACCCCCTGTAGAGTTCCTGCCCCGCTACCCTACTTCTGTCTCTGGTGTGGCTGGGCTTTGGCACCTCCTGGGGCCTCGGTAGGCAGCCTGGAGGCACCGCCAACCCACACCTGACTTCAGCCTTCTGGAGGGTGCGCAGGAGCTGCTGGAAGTCTTGGGAGGGTGCCTGGGAGAATAGAAATACACTGTGAGCAACTGTGAGGAGAATGCAGAAGCAGCAGCAGAGCTCCAGCCAGCCCTGACTTTTCCTTCCACCTGTCAGATGTGCCCTCCCAACTCCAGCAACTGAAGCCCTCCAGCCCCTCTCCCACCCTCTGCTGTGGATTTCTCTCCTCTGCCCCTTATAGGTCAAAGTCCCTCAGGGCCCACCCCTGGGTCCTGGACCTGTATCCACACCCACTCCCTGCTCCACAGTCCATCGTTCTCCCCCTAGCTGCTCCAGGTCTCTGGTCAGCTCCAGAACTGTGTGCTCAGGGGTCCCCTAGACATTGTGAGGTCTCTAGGCACTCAGACTCAGGGTGTCCAAAGGGGCTTGATTCTCCACTACTTACTGTACAACCTTGAGAAAGTTGCCAAACATCACTGTACCTTGAGTGAGACTTCTGTAAAATGGGTACACAGGGAGCCAACTCAGAGTTATTGTGAGGACTAAATTAGCACAGCCCCTGGCTAGTAAGTAAGTGTGAGCTGTTTTCATCATCTCTTCCTCCAAGAAAACCTACTCCCAGGTCACTGCACTATTGCCAGCTGTCCCTGCCTGCCAACCACCAGCCTGGCACCTCCAGGGCATTCTCCACAAGGCAACCAATGTGACAGGCATGCGACCACTTCCATCTTCTGCTCAGCACCCCTCAAGGGCTCCCCATTGCCCTTGGGACAGAGTTGGCTTGATGCTTGCCCACAAAACCTTTCTGCAGACGGACCAGAGAGAGAGGAGGCAACAAACGTTTGAGAATGGAGAGGGGTGAGGGGGGAGAGAGAGAGAGGGAGAAGAAAGAGAGAGAGAGAGGGAGGGAAGAGAGGGAGGGAGGGAAGAGGAGGGAGGGAGGGAAGGGAGGGAGGGAGGGAAGAGGAGGGAGAGAGGGGAAGGAGAGAGAAAGGTGGAGAGGGAAAGAAAGAAAACAGAAAAGAAAGCAAGGAAAGAAAAAAGAAAAGAGGCCAGGCATCGTAGCCCACACCTGTAATCTCAGCACTTTGGGAAGCTGAGGCAAGAGGATTGCTTGAGCTCAGGAGTTCAAGACCAACCTGAACAACATAGCAAGATCCCATCTCTACAAAAGATTTAAAAATCAGCTGGGCATGGTGGTAAGTGCCTGTAGTCCCAGCTACTTGAGAGGTTGAGGTGGAAGGATCACCTGAGCTCAGACTGAGGCGGTGGTGAGTGGTGATTGTGCCACTGCACTCCAGTTTGGGCAACAGAGTGAGACACCCAACTCAAAAAAAAGAAAAGAAAAGAAAGAAACAAAGAAAGAAAGAGCGAGAGCGAGAGAGAAAAGAAAAGAAAAAGTACATTCTGTTTCTGTCCTGAGCTTTAAGAGAGATCGAGTGGTTGTCTTTGTCTCCTCTCACTCTGCAGGTTTAGAGCAAGTGACTTCACTCAGTTTTCTCATTTAATAGAGGGGTAACCACAGTGCTCATTTCACAGGGGTTGTGAGGTAGATGAGGTCATGGGATAGGGCAACACTGCTCATGGGTGCAAGTTCCTTTTCCTCCCTCTCCTGGAGCCTGTCAAGGGCAGTGACCTTGGACCAGGGTTAAATAATGAACCAAGATATTTCTTAACTTTAATAGAGAGCAGGACAGGGAGATGTCACCATCCACAAGGCAGGAAGCAAGGCCTCCAGAGTCCTGGGCCATTTAGGTCTGTGTGGATGTGAAAGTCAGGAGAGAAGGGAAGGACGGGCTTTGGGACGTTCAGATGGTGGGAGGGAGCTGGTGCTTTCTAGCTGCTCCTCAGAGCTCTGCCCAGCTCCGGCGCCATCACCTGGGGTGTCTGGGGCTGAACTTGGTCATCTTAGGATTGGGGTCTGAGCTAGGAGAGCACTACAGGGTTGCCTCAGTTTCCCCAAGATGCTTAGTCTCTGGGAAGCCCAAGAAAAAGCAGCCCAAGAAGAGAACATAAACTGTGGTTTGCTTTGGCCCTATTGGCTCTCGGGGTCACCCACCGAGTCACCCCACTCAGGCTCAGGAAACAGCCCTCGCTTTCCCCAGGGATGCCTGTGTCACAGCCACAGTCTACCCTGCAGATGGAACTCTCCCCTGAGTCCAGAGACCCTTTCCTGGCGATACTGGCAAGGACAGGACCATGGCACCAAAGCCAGCAGCCCTAGTTCAACCTCTGGCCTCACCTATCGTGTGCTTTCTTCCTTCCTTAGTTTCTTCCCAAAGGCCTTCCAAAAACTGCATCTCTCAGCTGGCGCCCTGAAGGGAAACAAACCTCATTTCTGCTCCTATTTTACAGCATATGTTATTGGGTTCGTTTTTCCTAGTAGAAAAGTAGTATGTGTTCATCGCAGAAAACTTTAAAAATACAGACAATATAAAGACGGAAATAAGGATCATGATCCCGTCATTGGGAGAGAGCCATCATCAACGTGTTTGGAATATTTTCTCCTGGGAGCTTGCTCAGTGTCCATATATAACCCTGGAGTTACACCTGCAGATAGTTTCATATCCAGAGTTGTCCACTCGCTGTTGCATCAAGAGTGGGAAGAAGAGAACTGGGGAGCGGGAAGCGTAGTCTTTGGGGCCACACAGACGACATGAGTGCTGACTCCATGCTTTACCAGATTTGGGACGCTGAGCCTCAGCTTTCTAGTCAGTAGAATGGGGACAGCTACTGTGTCACCCACAGCAGAGGTCAGAGCCTTGCCCCTGATATCAAGTTCCAACCCTGGAGGGGAGGAGTCGCCTGGGAGCCCTTAAGGGTAGGGAGACTTCGGGTCTCAGCCATCTTTGCAGCTCCCACTGTTCCCAGCCATGACCAGACCCATCAGAAACTGGGAGGTGGAGAGTTTAGATGGGGAGGAGCCAAAACACCCAGCTGCCCTCTGGCCTGATCACTCCCTGTGTGTCCACTAGCAAGCCACTAGGCCTCTCTGAACCTCAGCCATGGAATGAGTATTGTGCTCCAGCAGCATGTCATAAGCAGTGTTACTAAGTCTAAGGAAGTAAGTAAGATTCTGTGGTCAAATGCAGGACAAGCACAGTTAAATATGTTTCTTAGCTGCAGGACTTTTCAGAGCCTTTGGTGTACTGACGTGTGGTTTAAAAAAAAAAAAAAGCCAGAGGAGAAAGCAATATGGAGAGTTGCCAGACTCATCACAGATGCCCCTTTCTCCATGGAGTACCTGAAGGGAATCATGTGTGTGCTTGGTGGGGAAGGCCCAGAGCTCTCCACAGCCCTTGTTCCTTTCTAGTCTCCTCCCTGTGTTTTATGCCTGGGCCTAACTCCACAGCTCAAAGTTCCCTATTCAACCTTTCTCATCTCCCTCCTTGGCTCAAGCTGTTCAGCTCCCTCCTCCCAGCCTTCCCCTCTTCCCCAGAGCTGAGTGTTCCTAGACAACACTCAGCTCTGGCAGCCCCTCCTTCAGGAAGTCCTCTCTGACCTCCAGGCTGGTCAGGCCTGTCTCTACTCCCACAGCGCCAGTATGACCTCTATCAAAGCTCAGAACACACTGTCCAGGACTGGGCTGTAATCCCAGCACTTTGGGAGGCCGAGTATGGAGGCTCATGCCTGTAATCCCAGCACTTTGGGAGGCAGAGGCAAGAGGAATGCCTGAGCCCAGCAGTCCGAGACCAACTTGGGCAACTTGGTGAGAACTAGTCTCTACAATAAATCAAAAAATTAGCCGGGCATGGCGGTGCACACCTGTGGTTCCAGGGCAGCTGCCATCACCCTGGGAGCCCCGCTAGGACAGAGCCAGCCCTGCTTCCTCTCTGTGACCCAATGCCCAACATGATGTTGGCACTCACATTCTGGAACTGTCTCTGAAGGATGAAAACAATTGTGCTTGGTGAGGGGGGAAATGGTGCACTGGGAGGTCAGAGCCTTGGTGGCCTCAGGTAGACCCATGAGGACCATCCCTGGGTACCAACCTGAGGCCCAGGCTGATGGTCTCTTTCTTCAGTGTCAGACGGGCACACATACAGCCGCTCAAGTCACAGGATGCGTGACGCCTGCAGCACCACTGAGGACTGGCCCCCACCCTTGGACATCAGCTCTGACGGGGACGTGGATGCCACTGTGCTCAGGGAGCTATACCCAGATTCTCCACCAGGGTAAGGAGGCCACCCTAGGAAATGGGCATGAGAGGGCGGGACTCTGGACTTAAAGACGCCGCCACCATGGGAAACAGCAGCGTCTCTCTGTATGGTATAAATTCAGGGAATATCCTGCAGTGGGCATGGCCGTCTCCTCACCTGTCCTAGTCAAGCAGGTGCCATCAAGGCAGGCATGACTCTACAGTCACCAGGAGGTGCTAGGAAAGGAAGTGGCCCGATCAAGGTCTTCAGGCTGATGAGTAGGCATGCTGGGAATGCCCTTGCAGGGGTGGTGGGCCAGAGAAGCATTAGGTCATTTCTGTGGCCATAGGATCAAGTTTCCCCTAGGGGAAGATAGTTCACTGTGCTTATATAAGTAACACCAGGGACCAGGGTGGCAAAGGGGGACAAGTCCATGTCCCGACATCTGATAGCTCCAGGTTGACTCACCAGTTCCTTAGTCCAGAGGTCCCCAACCCCAGTACCACAGACCAGTACCGGTTCATGGCCTGTTGGGAACTAGACTGCACAGCAGGAGGGGAGTGGCAGGTGAGCAGAGCGGTGCATTAAATTCTCACAAGGCCAAGTGTGGAGGCTTATGCCTATAATCCCAGCACTTTGGGAGGCGGAGGCAAGAGGAATGCCTGAGCCCACCAGTCCGAGACCAACTTGGGCAACTTGGTGAGAACTAGTCTCTACAGTAAATCAAAAAATTAGCCGGGCATGGCGGTGCACACCTGTGGTTCCAGCTCCTTGGAAGGATGAGGTGGAAGGATCGCCTGAGCCCAGCAAGTCGTGGCTGTGGTGGCCATGATCGTACCACTGCACTCTAGCCAGGGCACCAGAGGCCCTGACCCCAAAAGAAATACATAAATAAATAAATAATAAGTAGTGACAAACAACCCCTGCTTACTGAGTTTTCTGGTATAGGAAAAAGATGCTATAGCTATCTGGGGGGTGTGCCTCAGGGTTAGACCAGAGGCAATAGCTCCTGAGACCATGACCTGAGGACAGGTACACCCACCTGCTCACCCCCAGCTAGCTCAGGGGCTCCTGCCTGTGTAAGGAAGGGCCAGGTGGGCCCCAGAAACCAAGAGCTGGGCCCTGAGGAATCTGCCTCTGCCTGGTGCAGCTCATTCAAAGGAGAGGACCAAGTGAGGCTGCTTCTGGTCAAGGTCGAGGTGCACAGGGAGCAAGTTTGGAGGTCCCAGTGGGCAGAGCTCCCCCAGAGTCACAGCAGTGTTGGGTTTGCCTCAGGCATGAGGGGTGTCCAGGCTGAGGGTCCCCACGTGGTCAGGTACCTTGCCCAGGCTGATTGGGGTTAACACCTGGACAAGGCCAGCAGTCAGCTGACACATGACTGGGGATGGGGTGGGGAGGGAGGGTGGGGACACAAC